CAGCACAGTGCTTGCCTCTGGCCTCCTCGGGCTGTGCGCTCAGCTCCGGGGGCTGCCATGGCCCCAGCTCTGGGGCTGGCTGCTGCCTGAGCTCCCACGGGGGCCGCAGGTCCCATGGGTGCTGGCGCCAGAGCTCTGGCTCCTGTGACAGTGCTACTGGGCAGCGGCCGGGGGGCTCTGGCTGTGGCCGCGGCTCAGGGGGCTGCTGCTGACCTGGACCATGAGATGAAGTGAAAACACCTGAAAGGAGGCAAGCTCCAACCTGAGGGTGGCAGCCCCAGCAGGAGCCAGTTGTTCCACCTCCTCTCTCCTGCTGAGACATATTGGAGATTTCCAGAGCCCCCAGCACTGCTGGGGCTAGCTTCACATTCTACAGAAGATAGAATGCTCAATGCTCCCTCTTACTTTGTTCCTGTGGGGGGAAAAAAAAAAAACTTCCTTCTCAGCACAGCCTTTGTCTGACACATTCATGTCTTCTCCCCAGCCTGCCGCCCAACATGGGGTTTCTGTCTCATACCACCCCAACTCACAGGAGCCTGGGGGTGGTTAGGATGGCGGTGGCCTTTGGAGCAGGACTGGTGGGGCAAATTAATGAAAGTCTTGTGTTGTTTTTTGTGAAATGAGCGGGGATCTGATCTGCTGTTGGCATCCAGGGTCTGTTCATGGAGTTCCTGTAAGAACATTGTTCTGGGGGGCCCCACCAAGTGACTGAATGATGGGGTAAGAGGGATAGAGAATCAAAAGGGGCAGAGAAGAATGAGGCCAGAGGACGAAACTGCAAAATATCTAGCCAGCCATCAGATGAAGACAGAGAGAGAAGGAAAATTGAAGGATTTTAGACTGGGCCCAGGGAAGAGACAGGGGAAAGCTCATTCAATGAAGGTTTCTGGAGTATGTGGGCTGGGTAGAAAATGCGACCTGGAGAGCGTGGGTCAGTGGGGAGGAAAGGAAAAGGTGACTCAGGAGTGGAAGAAGCGCGGGGCGGGGAAGACGGCAGCACCTGGGGGACTCACTTTGGTGTCAGAATACATGAGGACTTTCCCTGACAGCTGCTGACCTTCCCTCATCTCGGTCCAGAGATTCCCTTTGAGTGGAAGAAAACCTACTCCCCCCTCCTCTGTTCCAGGGGATGGTGCTCATGAAGCAGGAAGTTTCCCAAGTCTGCTGCTTGGGGGAGTCTGCTCCTTAGATTCTGCTTCTTGCTGGAGCAGAGAAGTTGCTAGGTGTACTACACTGCTTGTACAAGTGGTAGCCATGGCTACCTTGACCCCCTTCCTGAATGCTTATGCTATGATGGATGGGATAGCAAGTTTCCTTATACAAACTGCATAAAACCCTGACATTTTTATTCTTGGGGGCTCAGCATTTTCGGGAGTGATCCCATTGAGCCCACCTGTGTGACAAGTAGATCTCTCTCCACCTCTCTGAGTGCCATCTGATTTCTCTGGGAAATTGCCATAACACTCACATGGGGGATGTATGTCAGTTCCCAAGGTCAAAGACAGAGGCATGAGTTGAAAGTAAACATAGAACTCCAGAAAGCAAAGGGGAGGAAGGAGTTTCCTGGGCAGTGCAGTTGCTTCAGAGAACCCCTGCAGGATCCACTCAAGGAGAGGCTGAGAGGTCAAGACAAGTGCAGACCCAGCAGCCCTCACCCCTCTGCTTCCTCCAGCCTCACGCTCTGTAGCCCTCATGACCCAGGAGGGCTGACCTTCAGACCTCCAAGCTGTGCAGCACTTGGGGGTCTCCTGAGTGCCCTGATTGGAGTGTCAGATCTGTGGGCTCTTTGGAGGCTCAGGTAGCAGCTTCCCCTAGAGCTGGAACCACAGTGGAAAGAGGCTGGAGGCAAATGATCTAAGGGATGCTTGAGGGTGAGGCATTTGGGAGGGGGGGAGGAGACGGAGGCTTCTGCAGTTTGTCCTGGCAGGCTATCTCAGCTTAGTGATACAGGGGGGAATAAAATAAAGCCCTGCATAACACTGATGTATAGCTATCACTATAATCAGATCTTCCTTGACATACGGTGGGGTTAGGTCCCAATAAACCCATTAAAAATGGAAATTATCACAAGTTGATATCTTCCTACCTACCAGACATCATAGTTTAGCCTGACTGACCATAAATGTGTGCATAAAACTTTAATCTACCCTTGGGAAAAATCATGTAATATAAAACCTGTTTCATAACAAATTGTTTTATACTGTACTGAAAATGAGAAACAGAATGCTGTAGTTCAAAATTCAAAGGATGTTTTCCACTGAATGTATGTCACTTGTATCAGCATGAACCTGAACTTTTGTAAGTCAGGGAGCTGGGACTGTCCTTTATGTATAAATGTCTATTTCCTGCCCTCTTGCCCCTTCTCCATCTTTTTGCTGATTCCAACCCTGTGACCCCAAATCCACAGTTTAGGTAACCTGAATGCAGCAGGGAAGCAGAAAGGGCCTTGAGCAGAGATCCTGGTTCAAGATGATTATGGATTAAGCCCCCAACTTTTTTCTCTTCCTCCTGTGATTTACAGTCAGGAAAAAGATGGTGGGATATGGAGAGTGGAGACAGGAAGCGTTATATTCTGAGTGGTAGATCTTCAAACTGCAAGTCCCAGGCCTCTGTAGATGCCCAGATATATTTCTGATAAAAGGGACACAGGAAGACCCCAAGATGTCCAAATACCTGGCTCTTGTCCTCACACTTCTGAAAGTTAGTTGTTTATGCTTTGTCATACATCCAACCGTTGTCCATCCTGCCATTTGTCCATCCATTCTTCCACTCATACAACATGAATCAAGTGCAAATTTCAGAAATGTGCTTACATAAGTGGGCTCCAACCTTGAGGAGCAATACTGTAGCAGACATAATGGATGCTCATAAGTAGTGAAATTACTAAGCCTGCTATAATAGTGTGGAGGAAGTTCCTGGGGCTGAGTTATAGCCTTTGGGCATCAGTTCCTTTTGTCCTGACAGGAGTAAAGTGTCCAGATGTTGTCACTGGTATCACGCGTGGGAGGTGGGTGAGGTCTTTGACCTTCAAACTGGCTCTTGATTACAGGGCAGGAGCAAGATGTCACCTTGGGGTGACTCAGTTAAGGTGACTAAGAATACACGGGACCCCAGAGCCAAGAGTCCCTGGGCAGGAGGCTTCTGGGAAGAAGGAAGAAATAAAGCTGCCAGCTGAGAGAAACTACATCTAAAAGGGGAGCAAACTGAGATAGCAGGAGGCAGAAGAGTGTGCTGGCTCAGAACGTGGTTGTGCAAGGTTTTAGGAGCAACCATCCTCATCAAGACCTAAACATGTTACAACCATGGCCCAAATCTGAGTTTTTTTCAGAATGCTGTGGGGACACGAGTTTATGTTGGGCCTTCAGGAAAAGGTAATGCCAGCTGGAGAGAGAATGATAGTGTCAATATCTCCACAATGATGGTTCAAAAACATGCCTCAGAATACTTTGACACTCCTCTCACAGAGCGATGGAGTCTATGTCTCCTCCTCTTGCCCCTAGGCTGGCTTGTAACTGGGTTGCTTAACCCATAGAAAACGCTAGAAGTTATGGTCTGTGAGGCTGGGGTTCAGTCACAAGAGGCCATGCGTATCCCACCTGATTGTCTTGGGAGAAGCATGTCACAAGGCTCAGGATTACACTGAGACCCTCATGCCAGAGACTCTGGGGTGGGTGGTAGCTGTAGCCAGCGTCAATGGCGCTCACCTAGGTGAGCCTACCTGGATGTCCACCCCAATCAAACCTCCAGGGAACTACAGACCCATTCAACATCTGAGCGCAAAAGCAGGAAAGACTCCCAATCAGAATTACCTAGTTGAGCCATTCTGAAATCCTGACCCACAAAACAGAAAACTCAAAGTTTCACCACTATTGTTACAGTCATAGTGGTAATCAGGAAAGCCTCTAATCTTCTCCCATTACAACATTACTATTTATTTTCCTCCCTAAAAGTGGATGACCTTGTTTACACCCCCCAAAACCAACCAATTTTATGCTTCTAAGTTGGCCCATGCCGGGCTGATCCCCCCTAAAGTGGCACCCGCACACACCAGGTGATGGGCACTCAGGTCACTTTAACAAAATACCAGACAGTGGGGGCATATAAACAAAATAAATTTATTTCGTATAGTTCTGGAGGGTAAGACGTCTAAGATGAAGGCACTGGCAAGTGTCTGGTGAGGGCCCACTTTCTAGATAAATATTTAGCAGCATCTCTGGCCTTGACCCATTAGATAAAAGTGAAATCTAGAATCAGTCACAAATGTCATATTGCAAATATCGCATTGCATATTGCCAATGTTCCAGTGAGGGACATTTCTCTTTGCTGAGAATTGCTTTCTGCCTAGTTTTTGATAATTTGCTACTATGCAGTCTCTGTTTCTTGATGCGATGCCAGAAGCTACTCACTGAAAGAGAATCGTAGCCCCTGGTAGATCCCGGGAGCCACTGTGAGAGGGGCACGCACCCACCTTCATAAGACACTCACCCTGGTTCTGGTGGTGGCAGGACCTGCCCCATGCCCCTCCCCCTGGGCTCACCATTCAGTATAAAACACAGACCGACCCTCCTCGTTCCAGTCAGTGGCCAGTCCAGCATCCTGCATCTTCTGCAGGACGGCACTGGCCCTGGGTGGGGGGGTTCACAGGAGGCACAAGCCAGGCCACCAGCCACCAGGGGAGGGACAGTGAGATTAAACTGAGTACTCATGAAAATTGGAAGAAGTTCTATTTTTCACAGGTGGGGACAGCAGCCCAGCCAGGGTAAAGGGGGACTTTGCGACTGGACATTAGACAGATGGAGCCTCTTGGGAACACAGGGAAACCTCCTAAAGACATCTGGCTCAACCCGGAGAAACCCGGATGGGGTGTGTGGGAACCGCTGTATCAGGCGGGGGCTTTGCCTGGTCCCTGGGATTCTGGTTTCCCCCGAAATGGCTCCTCTCAGTCTCAGGATCCCAGGTCAGCAGCAGCCCCCAGAGTCGTGGCCACAGTCAGAGCCACCCTATTGCTGCCCACTGGCTCTGTCAGAGTTGCTGGAGCTCTGGCGCCTGCACCCATAGGACCTGCGGCCCCTGTGGGACCTGTGGCCTCCGTGGGGGCTCAGGCAGCAGTTGGCCCCTGAGCTGGGGCCATGGCAGACCCCAGAGCTGGGAGTACAGCCTGAGGAGGCCGGAGGAGGCAAACACTGTGCTGGGCTCCTGAGGGGACACTTGGGGGTGGGGCTCTTGGGAGGGGGCTGGCACTGCTGCTGGTTTTGCTGGCAGGACATCGTGGAGGGAGGTGAAAAGACAAAGAAAAACAGAAAAATGTGTCCATGCAGAGACTTCAGGTCAAGTCTCCGCATTCATTGGTTTAACTGTAGCTACTTTTCTCCTAAGATCAATTGCTCTCCTTGAGCCAAGTTTTGGAGAGGGAGATGTAAACGACTTGGAGTTAAACTGGCCTGATAAGCTGTCCTTTCTTGGCTCTCTCCTAAGAGGAATGAAAATTCAACATACATAACACACAACCCCGCAGTGGGCCTGTCACACAGACACAGTGTGAGCAGCGCCCCCTGCAGGCAGCATGTGCACAAGGGCCCATTAGGCCATAATAGTTCTGGGCTTCTCCCTCTGGGCACCTGTGCACTGGGTGAAATCACTGAGGTGTGCGGAGGACATGACTGCTTGTCTGGGAAGACAAGGGAGGGAGACATACTCATATCAGATGCATGGCAGAACCCTGTCTTTGCTGGTGGACTCTTCTTCCCATCTTACTCTTTGAGGCCCCTGCTGCCCATCCTGGGCCTCCTTCTACCATCTCCACCCTTTCCTCCTTCCCTCTCCTTGCTGAAGTACAGACATGTCTGCTCAACCCCACAGCCCAGGCTCTCTCCCCAGCTAGATGTTCACCTGATTCTGTGGAAGCAGGAGAAGTTGGGGACTAAGAACCAGCCTTTTACGCTGAGCTGCATTGCGCGGCCTGGCCCAAGGATGTACCTTGTACTTAGCCTGGGGCAACAGTAGTACATACTCCCAAATTATGAAACACAAATGGGTTTCTGGGTCACTTCCCTAAACCCAGTCCTTGGTGCCATACATTGATGGTTTCATGCCATTTGCCTCCCCTCTCTACGTTCTGGAGGAAATGAGTCACAATCCCCACTTTAGGGCCGTCATTTTGATCATTTAAGTCAGATTGACAGGCTGGCAAATGTCCCATGCAGATAGAAGAGTGACTCATCAACCTTCAGCTCTCCCAGAGCATGCAGCAACTTGGAAACATACGCAGATTTGTCCTTTGTATTCCTGAAGCTCTAGAGTCCTGTAGAAACAGGCAAAGACTGAACCTGGTTTACCTGAGCAAACCTTTGGAAAAGTTCATTATCTGGTTTTGCCAACTGATGTGATAGAAAAGTATAATGCAACATTGTAGATTTTCTTAATGCTTTTTCCAGCCACTGTGTTGTCTTTATTAAATGGGCTATTGAGGGCCTCCCTGGTGGTGCAGGCAGTTGAGCACAGCGCTGTGAAGCTGTCTGCAGCCTCTGTAGCACCGGTTCGATCCCGACGGGCCGGCAAGATGCCCACATGGTGTGGCAGACCTCTCCTGTCTCGCCCACTGCTCCCCTTCAGCGGAGTATTTTCAGTGAGTCTGCCTGTTCTGTTCCCCGCTCTGTCTCTGGTAAGCTTCAGACAAGCCCTCCCTCACATTGACTCCGCGCCTCCTTCCAGGGCTTATTTGGGCGCACGGCCTGCCGCTGGGGGAGTCATTGCGAGAGGAGGGTGCAGGTGTTCCCCGGGGGGACATATGGCCTGTACCCCAGTTCTTGTATAAATAAATAAATCTTTAAAAAAATAAATGGACTATTGAATCAGAAGCAAAGAGAGCAAGCATTGCATATTTAATTTCAATAATTCCATATTTAATGACCAAGATGCATCCATGAAAATTTATGTCAACTAACAAAGGAGTGCACATACAAACACTTTTTCCTTACCCAATTAATCCCTTCCTAATTCAAGTCTCCACTGTCTTCAACCAAGGCCACCTGGATCCTATGAAATTCAGTTAAATCATTTATAAGGAAGGTAGAATGAGGGAGCCTGGAAATAATGCTTTAGCTTTCAATTTAAGGATACTTTTCTGAGTCCTCATCACTCCTTTTTGTAGATAAGCACTGGCCCAAATCCACTGAAAATTTCATGGATTGAATCAAGCTCTAACATGGTTTCAAAGACATATACAATTTTACAAGAATTACGGCTACATCTCCAAAGTTGAAAACAACTGGGCCCAAGGTGAATCTCCCCCTACAGACAACAGGTACAGGCACAGCCTCTTGGGACTCACTGTGCAGTGGCAGGATTTATCCCATCCCCACTGCCTGTTCCCCCACTGCATTCCCACCTCTATAAAGAGGGGACTCAGGCTAGGGGAAATTGTCCCACAGTGGGGCATCCTCTAGGAGGATCATTGGTGAGCTAATGGTGTCTGCAAGAAGAGGCTCGTATTTTAATCTTGCTGAGATTATGGCATTTTATCTGTTCTTTGCATCTATAATTTTTGGGGACAGGCATGGGTAGTTCAGAGAAATGGGCAGCATGGGACTGACCATACTGTTTGATGGGATGACTGGACACCAGGAGGTACAGCCAGGCTGGAGCTGTGGTGCCGTGTTCTGTTCAAGAGGGCTGCCCATGGGTGAAGGCATGCCCGCAACAAGGGGCAGATCATGATGAGGTCCCAGCAGAAGCTATATGGACTTGCCGTCAGGAGAAACTGAAGCCACAGGTCTCCTTGCAGAGAGTCAAGGGCAGCATGGAGAGTTCTACAGCAAGACCAGCTATCAGGGGATGCTTCACTCTCTTCCTACCCCCCAACTCTCTGCCTTTAAATTTAAATGGAGAGAGAAAAGCCTACCCAGAAGGTGGAGGGGAAGAGTCTCACCAGCAAGGTCTGATTAACTCTGGGGATGGGGATTATTTGAGATTAAATTGAACTGAGTTGACTGGGTGAAATATATATTTTAAATATTTTAAGTGTTTTTTAATACTTAAAAGTGAATGGACATGTATGAAATGCACCTTCCAGTGATTGAAAAGGGGCATTCATTTTGGCACAGGAGGGGAGAGGAGAGCATATGGAAAGAAGTAAAAACGTCTCATGTCTGTACTGCATTGAGCTCAGTTTGTTCATCTTTGTACTTTGGGGGCATTTTTTCCAAATATTGATTACTGGAGTTAGTTCTATGAAATAAATTGTGTTGCAAGTTTATCAAAGGGGTTGGGCAAACACCTAGAATTAAGGTGTGGGATCATATAGATTTATGGAATTTCCATACCTTTTCCCATGGAGGCTGCACCAAATTAGATTCCCACCAACGATGAATGAGTGTTTCTTTCTCCACATCCTCACTAACGTTTCTTGTTTCCAATCTCTTTGATACAGGTCATTCTCACAGAGGTGAGGTGATACCTTATTTGATTTGTATTTCCCTTATGGAAAACGATGATGAGCATTTTGTTCTTGTTCCTGTGGACGATTTGTATGTCTTCTTTGAAGAAACATCCACTTAGGTCCTTCTTAAGATTTTTACTCTCCTGTTTATAGCAGCATCATTCACAGCAGCCAAGACATGGAACCAACCTAAGAGACCATCGACAGCCAACTGGATAAAGAAACTGGGATATACTCTCAATGGAATATTACTCAGCTATTTAAAAAGATGAAATGGGTGGAGCTAGAGATGATTATGCTGAGTGAAATAAATCAGAAAATGAAAGACAGTTACCTGAGAGTTTCACTCATCTGCGGACTATAAATAACCAAAGAAAACAAATTGTCAAAACACAACAAAAATAACTTCTTAGACGCTACGAAAAATACGATGGTTACTAAAGGGGGTGGGGAGGGGTGGGGGAAAGTGGTGATAAGACATTGGCACTGAAGTTTGGCGGAAGATGAGTGAAGCATGTGCACATGTTAAGGTGTGAATTATACTCCTAAGGTTATATAGCTATGTATATATGTATATAAATGGTGAATCAAAAAAATTTGGGGAAAGATTAGGAAATGCTCATGAAACATTTATGTTGCCAAATACATACCTTCCCCTGCCCTCTCAATTCCTATAGGCCATCCAAGAATGAAGGAGAGTCTTGTTTTTTAGTTTTTCTGGTCTTTAATTGGGCTTCCATGCTAAATGTGTAACTTTGCTGTATTTTGAAAATGAAAGTGTGTAAAACACCCCTGAACATGTTGGGTGGGGATTGAAAGTGCACAGGGAAGGAAAGGTGTACTCAAAAAGAAGTCTTGTAGTTTTAAATATTAGGGTTGAGGCTCTTAAGACAGTCTCTACATTTTGGAAGGTGAGCCTTCTGGGGAGAACCAGATGTTGTCTTGATACAATATATCAGTTCAGCCCCAGAAAACTGAGGAGAGTCATTGGGGAGAGTCTCCTACCAGGCAATTTACTTGCCTTTTGAACTTTTGGTTCTTTTAATGCTGTGGCTCTGAGTCTTTGCCCAGATCAGCAACGTTCCTGGACCTGGGACAGCAGCCAGAGTTCCCAGCCACTGACCACTCCCCACCACAGAAGTAGGACCTCTAGTGGCCAAAGTAAGATTTGCAGGGCCTAGGTCCACTCAAGCAGCAGGACTAGACAGTGCTGACCCTGAGGACAGGCACTTGGGGAGCTGCTTGGGAGTGGGGCACTTGGAAGGTGTTTAGTACAAATAATGGTTTCACTGGCAGTCTATCTCAGTAGGATGTCTTCAACACCTATTCCAATGTATCAAATAACCACTGTTCCTTTTAAAATTAAATCATATTATGAGTATTGAATGTCTAATATATGGATAAAATAAATATCAGAAAGAAAAATCTTTACCCAGGTTAAGCTCTTTAAGAAAAACTCTTTTCTCTAGAAATACATAGATTTCTCTAGTCTGTCTGTCTGTCTGTCTGTCTGTCTCTCTCTCTCTCTCTCTTTGTCTCTCTCTCTCTCTCCCCTCATCCCTGGCCACACTCCCCTTTACTAGCAGAAACATTCCAGACTCCTCCTGTCCCTGACTTCTCTCTATTCTCCATCGTCTTTCCTTTTGCTTTTTTTTTTTTTGTTTGTTTGTTTCTTTAATCCCACTTCTTTTAAGACTTGTGAGTCCTGCAACAAAGAAGTTACTCTGTTTTCAGACAAACCTCCTTCCTGTGACACCAGAGCTCATGATGCTGGTCACTTTCCTGGGAAATTCCAGGGCTGGGTGCTGAGGTGTGGGTGTCTCAAGAAGG